GGGGGGGGGTCGCCTTAAAGTCGGTCTCCAAACATCGTCATATTGTGGTTCGGGAATGAACTGGTAGAAACAGCTTTTCACACAACCAGTGATTATTTTCAGCGGCGTAGAGTCACAAATCTTTCACGGAACCTTACCCGAAACGCAGCAGAAGGTTCTATGCCACTGATTCAGAAGGTTGATACCAGTGGCATTAATAAAACACGGATCCGCAATACCAGTGAAAGCCTTTTGACTGGACTGGATTCGGCTTAACAACATGCAGCTAAGCGTTTCGCCGTTGAAAGACCTATCTAATGTAATACAGCTGAATGATGGAATAGGCTACTGCAGAATAACCGTAGTAGGTGTCGAGTCCCCAATAAGTGCTATCGTTACATGGTTACCTGAAAACGGTGAATCACGTTGTTCCTTGATTCTCATGCTGCTTTGCACAGACGAAACAGCGCACCCGAGCGCGACACCGGTGCTGTGACTCGCTTCGGTGTCAGCGACTGGATGGGAAATAAGAAAGGATGTGACACCACTGGGTTACATTGACGTAGTTCATCAAAGCCCATGAACTGAAAGTTCGACAAAAAGTTCCAGCTTATTAATCCCTATTCCGACTGTCTGGGGTTGGAAAAGTGAAGGGAGGTAAAGATCGAAATCGCCCCTTCTAAAGTAGTCCGATTTGCTAAGAAAGCGGTCAACATTTGACAATGGACGTTGCAATGTAAATGTACTCACAGAAGCCAAAAGCTTTTAGGACCTATGAAAAAGTCTTCATTGCAACTTTGCCAGACTGCGGTTATTTTCTAAATGATGAAAACCTAACAGCGACTAAAAATACTGTTTTCGTTCTTTGTTTGATTCTGTCTACTTTTTCAGCCTGATTTCCACATAAGCGATCCACTGAAGTAAAACAGTCTGAGGGAGTACCATACCGATGCTGAAAGGATCAACTGCCCAAGGATTTCAACTGCCGAAACGCGAGTTCATGTTGTAGCTTCAACGAAATGGAAGTCATATGAAAGAAATTAGCGGGTTAATTCCAAGTCTGCACAGTTGACGTTTTCGTGGCCACTGGAAGTCCTAGGTGGTAATTGCACGCAAGTACACGTAATTCAACTGCCGAAACGCGAGTTCATGTTGTAGCTTCAACGAAATGGAAGTCATAGGGGTGAAATTAGCGGGTTAATTCCAAGTCTGCACAGTTGACGTTTTTGTGGCCACTGGAAGTCCTAGGTGGTAATTGCACGCAAAGAAGTACACGTAAATCGAAATCAGCTCTGTTAGATGAGCCACGAAACCTGAATAAAGTCTTGAGAGTGTGCAAACAAATCAGTAGGTTCCAGGTGGTATTGAAATGTAGGCTAGGCCATCGAGCTTGCCTCGTCTGAAAACAAGTCAGACTGATCGGGTTTGACACGGGTCAAATCTGTTTGTGACTCCGTTTTGGTGTTGGCTCATCCGTAGGAATCAGACTAACAACATACCTTCACGTTCATATTTATGAAACAACGTGCGGATAAGCTAGCAGGATTGAAATCGAGAGTCATTTCGAAGCCGTACAGAAGAATGGAACAAGAGCTATTTAAATAGCCAACGAGCCTACGTACCAACCCCCAGACCAAACTAGATAGCAAACGTCCCAAAGACGCCGGTGAACAAAAGAAAAAAAATAGTCACGATCACCACATGGTCAACTTAAAGTTTAACGTGCACTCCAATTACAGTCTTTCCGAAAGCATGAGGTATAAGCCATGACTAACAGCCAATGAGCAGACAAAAACTAAAAGCGGAATGGTACCTTATCTTAATACTACTCCTTTAACAAGATGGTATACAGACTTCTATGCCCTCGCGATTCATGTTGCTGAAATGAGTCTGACTAACAACGGTTAGCAATGGAAGGGCGGGGGTGGTTATTCGACGACTTTACTAGAGATTCAATCAATTTGTCGTGAGGGGAGGATGCGTGGTTCGAAACGGAGACCGGCCGTTGGAGTATTTCTACTTGGGTTTGAGCAACCCAGTAGTATTTCATCCCTAGTGCTTCCTTAAGGTTGCATGATAGCTTTGCGCCAGAAGCTAAAGCCAGCTAAAACCCAGTGTTCACCGGATCGCCAAACTCAAGAAAAACAAACAAAATGAGATATGATTGGATAAGATTGTTAGAAAATAAATAGATTCAAATAGAGTACATAATTCTATCAGGCGTTGGCTTCCTCGCAAGCGTCAATCCAATCATTGTAGACATCGATCTCCTGACTGAGGTAATTAATTTTCGTCTGAAAATCCTCCAAACAAATGGTACATTTTATATAGCCGATATTATTGTCACGCTGCCTGAAATGATTCAAATGGTGCATAGACAGCCTGGCAAAGTAGGCCACTTACAAAACGACTTCACACGATCGGCCATGGTTACAAAAAGGACAGTTGAAGACTTTATCCAGTGGTTGTATGGCCTTGCGTTTCGGAGGTGGTTTGTTTGCACTCCGTCGTCGACCCATTTCGCAGAAATTCACGAAGAGAATGGCATACGAAGCTGAAAAAGTAAGGCGGTGTGTTGAACTAAAGGAGAGAAAGAAAATACTGTTTGTTGGTACGAACAATGAAGCACCACAGGCAAAAGCGGCATAAGCACAACAGGTCGAAATAAGGGAACTTTGCAAGCTATATTTTAGGCCCCCCATATATCAACTGGTAGCGATAAGCGTGCAGAACTGCATTCTAAATTGACATGCCACATAAATAGGCACCTGTGATAAGGAGCCGATTTCGCTTTCACGCTGGTGTAAATTTTTTTATGAAGTCTAATGTGCAAGTAAACGATCACCCAATCAGATTTACGACATCTGTGTCAGCCTCCGTAGTTTCGGGGAAATCACAGAAGAACATAAACTGTGACGTCAGGGACCAACCACGTAAGAGGACAGAAACGATATCAAACGGACAAATGCTGTGGGATAAAGTGTGATTGGGAGAGGTGAAGGTGACGAAGATTGTAGGTAGAAATGAAAGGGAGTCCTATCGTTCGACATTCGTCGACATTAGATGACAGCGGTTTTAAGTAGTGAGTAAGTCTCCGAAGAGAGCGATTAAAAAGCAAGAATAGGAATGGTACAAGCAATCTCTGAAGGACACCGAAGTTGGTTGCGGCTACAGAACAGATAAGGAACGCCGCGTGTAACAGAGCAGGAAACCAAGGGGCCGATTCAGAGTTTCATTACCGTCCACCAAGATACAACAGCTGGCGACAACCCGAACCCACGATGTCAATTTCGGCAGAGCAACTCCAATTAATTCTACAGCAACAACAGCAGTTCGAAGAAGCTCAAATGAGGTTTGTTGAATATCTGATGCGCAGTATGTCGGTGAACGCGACAAAAACGTTTGAGCCTCCGTCTTCTTCCGCAGATGCTGCTGCCAGCTCGATTACTGAATTTAATTTCGATGCTGAATCTGGACGAACTTTCGAAAGCTGGTTCAAGAAATATGAAGACATGTTTCAAACCGACTTTGTTCAGTTTGACGATGCATGGAAAGTTCGACTGTTGCTGCGGAAACTGGGGACAGCTGAACACGATCGGTTCACAAATTTCATACTCCCCAAACTCCCTCGTGACCTTGGTTTCGCAGATGCTGTCAAAATTCTGGCCCAAATATTCGGTGAGCAAAGTTCCTTGTTCAATATTCGTTATCAGTGTCTCAAGATTACCAAAAGGGATACTGAGGATTTCATCACATATGCCGGTGTGGTCAACAGAGAATGCGAGCGCTTTCAGCTCAGCTCCATGACCGAGGATCAATTCAAGTGTCTCATCTTTGTGGCTGGTCTTCAATCACCACACGATGCAGATATTCGGACCCGGCTACTGAATCGAATTTAACAGGATCCAGAGTTGACGCTTCAGAAACTTACCACCGAATGCCAGCATCTTATCAATCTCAAGGCTGATGCTGCCATGATTGGACATTCCAAATTATCTCAGCCGGATATGGTATGCAAAGTAACTTCCAAAAGGAAGTCAAGTTCAAAACGAACTCCAAGAAAACCGCCCACACCCTGTTGGTTTTGTGAAGAATGGCACTATTCACGCCACTGTCCCTACCGGAACCACAGGTGCAGTAAGTGCAGTCGAAAGGGTCACAAAGAAGAATGTTGCAGAGACAACTTCAGGAGCTCGCGCAAACACCGACCCGACAAAAGGACGGAGGCAGAGGCCATGACCGCCACATTCAGGATAAAATCACCCGGTCGACGTAAATTCGTCACATTATGTATCAATGGCACACCCTCCAACTGGATACAGGTTCTGACCTCACTCTGATCTCAAAACGAACCTGGAACATAATTGGAAGGCCACCAGTGGAACCCACAAAGTGCATCATTCGTAATGCATCTGGTGGAAGCCTCAAACTGACCGGGAAGCTGAACTGTTCCGTAACGTTCAAGGGGATTCAACTCAATGGCACTTGCTACCTCACGAACTACACAGGCCTTGATCTCTTGGGCCTGGATTGGATTAGTGAGCTTCAACTGTTGGATGAACCCCTCAATGCCGTTTGTGACGAAACAACTGCAAATGGCCCCGATACGTTCACGAGAACATCTCATCCTGACGAATGGTCGCGACAGTTACAGCCAAACCGGAGACCAGATGGAGCATACGCGACACAGCGACTACTCAGCTCCTGGCGTCAGGCACCGGTAGTCCTCTCACCTCAGTCAAATTTGGTGAACCCTGTCAGCAGCCTGCAACGTTTCACCCGCGGTCTGAACCCTTCAGTTTACACTCGCAGGTTTAGGCGGATCGTTCTACTGCTATCCGGGAAGTCGAAAAAGGGGAGCCAGCAGGAGGAACGCCACAACAGTCACACAGAGACCAGCCACTGATTCGAAGATATGGGGAATGCTCTCCACGGTAGACGTAGGATCGATTATGTCAAACACGAGGCACACGTAAGATCATCAGCACAGCCGCGTCATGTGAACCAACTTCAGGCAACAGACTGCGGCTCGGTGAGGGGATCACGTGGCATGGGACACCGGACAGCCATGATATACCTCCCAAGTGGAGGATACCAGATCCCAGGTCGGCATGCACACAGCCTCAGCGACGAATTGAAATGCGACAGCAACTCCATGGGTCGTCACAGTGGAGCTCAAAGCAGCAGTCGGTTGAACAGCCTTCTCAAGGGGGTGTTCGGGGGCCAGCCGTCCCCAATAACCGAACATCACATCATTTGGACGGATGTGTCACGTGCAGGACACGGGCTAAACGAAGGCATGCCCCGATTGGTCAGAATGCCAGTCAATCCGAGCAAGCACCTTTGAACTCGACGCTTCTCGCCCCCCTCACGGATATTCTGGCACGACCTTGTGAAACACTCTGTGACTAACCTATAAACCCTATAAATACAGCTGTAATGATTTTCCTTTGACTCCATAAAGGGCTGTGTAGAGCTGCCGTGTTTTTTGATACACCATAGTGGGCGGAGCAGGAAGCCAAGGGACCGATACAGAGTTGCACTACCGTCCAGCAAGTTACAACAGTAAGTCGCCTATCAGCGATGAGAAGGATAAATCTAGCCCGCATACAACTCAACAAGTCAAAGTGGGTCAGAAAAATGTTACTCGACATGTGGTCAAACACCATAATTGGCTGAATTTGGGTGAAAAATATTAGATAGATCCAAGAGAGGTAAAAGCTATCGAGAGCCTAACAGGAAGCCAGTGTTTTAAGGCAATCAGTTTTATATGATCGACTCATAAAAGGTATGAAAATCGGTGGAAGATGGGAATATTTCGGGAGAAAGGAACGACGAATGAGCCTAACAATGACGGTCGGAAATTAAGCAAACATAAGTGGGAATATATTTAGTTCTGGATGGAGTGACAATATCCGTGTTGAAGCTAACGCTAAACGTGATTAGCTCTTGCTTTTGGTCGCTTGCTACCCCTAATGGTAAGGGGAAGTGAGTCATGCTGGGTGGTGTCATCCACGTATAAATCAACAAAGGATAATCATAATCGGGAACAGTAATTCATCAGAAATGGAAACTGATGCCTAACTGCCATGGAGGATGCAATCACTAGTAAGATTTGAAAAGAAAGGAGAAGCGGGAACTTACTGCGAACAGCCCAATGCCCACAGAGAAAAAGCCGAAGGATAAGGCGCCCACACTTTCCAAAACAAGTGGAATAAACAACACTGGGCATCACCACCAAGTAGGTTGACCCGGCGTTTTTTGCGAAATTCACCCAACACAAGCCCATCATCATCGACAGCATGATATCAGTGTTCAACACCGATGCTTCACTGCCGTACAAGCCCAGTACAAAACGAAAAGTGTTGGTTTGATTAGCAAGCGACTCATTCTTTTCATCAACCAGTTATATATGTGATCAAGCCATTTGGAAGGTTTTACCGAGTTCGGAATGGAAATGGATTAGGTTAGTTGGAAAAAACGAGGCATCGATCGAACTCAAAGCACGCCCCAGTTTAGGTGACGATATGGTTGCACACGTCATACCAGTTAGCTGACGACTAATCCGGAAATTTTCAGGAAGATGAGCGATAATGGTAGAGGGGCATGATAAAGCATAAACCTCGAGAGAATCAAGAATAACATATCGAATGGTCTACTTGGAAGACTTTAGGTTAAGAAGCTATAGAGAGTTCAGTGATGAAGGAGCGAACCTACTGATCAACGAACCCAAAGTTGGCACCTCAAATGCTCCTGTCTAGGCTTGGGTAACCTGGTGTTATCTCGGTCCTCGTTTAGTATGGCAGCTAAGTAGTGATATTTGTTATTACTATGGTTAAGAGACCAAGGATAGGTACACTGTAAGCCTTTTTCAAGAATATGGGTTAAGATAGGGCCACCATGACGGAGAAAGCCTACGCTCTTCAATAACAACGCCTATACTGCACGACCTGCCGCATCAGTACCTGATAAAGATTAAGCCCCTTCTTTCGTGAAAAACGAGATAGTCAGAGAGTGAATTCAAAATGGACCAGATTCGCTATGGAATCA